CACATTACTCCCTGAGTGTTTGTGTCATTATACAAGTTTTCTCTTTTTCCTCCATCAGAGTCGTCCAGGAGTCACTGAAGAACTCCACATCATCAAGTTTGTGACGGAGCTGGAGCACGCTGGACTGAAGTGCTACATCGAGGTGATGCATTTCATTTCCAACTTCAACGTTTCTCTGCTGCTAAACTTCTTCAAGTTATAGTTGAGGTCACAGAAGAAGGCTGTTTATTAAGTGTTCTTCTTCCCTTGTGTTGGTTCAGGCCAGCTCCCTGCCTTTGGTTGTCGTCTCCAGTACCAATCAGGTCTCCAGTGCCTGGGCCTCCATCATGTGGGTGAACATGCTGTCTCCCAGTGGATCGATGGTAAAGCCACCTCCCCTCGCCACAGCTCACCACCATCCTCATCTATAAAGTCAGGTCCAGTTATTCTGTACAACAGACTGTGTTAAAACTCACTGACTTTGCCGTGCAGAACCTGTCGCTGTTCGTCGACCCTCCTCCACTCACCTGGGAGCCGCTGGCGCAGGTTCTGAGCTGGCAGTTTTTGTCCGCTGGCCAGCGAGAGCTCGATGAAAACCAGCTCTCCATGCTAAGAGACAAAATTGTGGGTGAGTGTTCGGCTGCCTCAACCGTGGACTTCAGTCATGTTGCGTTCTTGTGGTATCTAGCAAAAAGGTGGTCGCCTAAAGAGTATTACTGGAAGATTTTGTTACCTTTGTTGAGCCTATCAGGTATGCTATTTCCCCGTTTTATGTGTTGCTCCCCAAGAAATATAAACAGTACAAAATATATAGATAGACGTAAGTAGAAAAATATGTCGTAAAAATATAAACAGAAGTAGAAAAATATGTCCTAAAAACAGGTAGAAAGATCGGACTTAAAAATCTAAACATGAGTAGAAAAATGTTCTAAAAATATTAACATAAGTAAAAACAGTGTAAGCATAAATGTAAAACATGCTTTTTCTAAGAAAAATAAAGTGTAAGTATACAGTGTAATAACTAGTGTGTGAAGTGAGAAATCGGTTAACTGCTTGCACCGAACTAACTTGCACTAATCATACAAGAACAAAGTGTTTCCAGTACTTTATAATTATTCTCTGTCCCTGTCCCTGTAAAACCAAATATGAGTTAATGTTCATCTGTAGCATTTAGGATAATTGAGTATAAAGTCAACGATTGTGTTTTTAAGGTACTGAAAGTACTTTTTGAACTGCACTCATTACGCTTAATCTCTCTGTTGGATTCGTTACAGATGACACTGATGGTCTTGTGCACTGGAGCAAGTTCTCCTCCAAGGTGAGTGTTGAGATGGATGCTTCGGTGCTTCCCACTGCGTGGACGTAAAACAGTGGAGGTGAAGCTCGTTTGCATAAAAATAGTGTGCACCAGAAGGACTCCAGAAAGACCTAATCACATACAGTTACATCAGTAATAGTATCTGACGAGGTGTAAACCTACTTAAAAACGTATCTATCTGGTATCAGAGAGGCTCACCTCCCCTCGCCCACTAACTTTGTACAAGTGTCATCACCACAAGCATCACTTTCTTCTTTTAATCAGCCATTCTTTAAACGACTCTAAAAACCCTAAAGTGTGGTTTGTCAAACAAGCCTTTTCATGTGTGACCCACATCACCCACATAGAGCGAGTCGGTCATTTCAGTGACTATTGTGAATTTTTTCCTTTTCTTTAATGGAAGGGTATGAATACATTTGAGGACGACTGTTTTTGTTCTTTCGTTCCATTGTGCCAGAATGAAAGTACCTGGGTCTGGATCGATGGAATCCTGGATTTAATCAAAAAATATTTGGTGGACCTTTGGAGAGACGGGTAACACATCTTCAATCATCTCAGCCATGTTTTACTGTTTGACTCATTGTATCATATACATAATAATGATCACAATGATTATGAGACAATCCTGCATGTGTGACTGCTGCAGCGATACGTCTGTCTCCTGAGTGTTATAATCTGGGAACGTGGAGGGGGATTTGGCCAATATGCTTCCAGTTAAACTTTCTGTATGTGGGTTTCAGATACATCATGGGGTTTGTGAGCAGAGAGAGAACAGAGTTCCTGTTGAAGACAAAAAGAACTGGGACATTTCTGCTCCGCTTTAGTGAGACCAACAAAGACGGCGCCATCAGCTTCAGCTGGGTCGACCACTCCCATGGCGGTAAGTGTCTTTACCTATATGTGTGTTTGGATGAAAGTGAAGGCCGGGCTAAAGAACCAGGCCACCCTGAATTCTTTTCTTTTCTCTCCTTATGGCAGACTGCTGCTGCTTCCAGTGATTTTTCTTTGACATTTGTCAACCATTCATCGGTCTTCCTGTCCTTACTGACTCACTCTCTTTGTGTTTCCCCTGTAGAGCCTCGTGTACATGCAGTGCTGCCCTACACCAAGAAGGAGCTGTTGTCGATGTCTCTGCCAGACGTTATTTACCACTACAGTCTGACTCGCCAGCAGGAGACCAGGAATCCTTTGCGCTATCTTTACCCCGACATCAACAAAGACGATGCCTTCGGACGCTACTACAAAGTTTTGGGTATTGTCTCTTGCGTGATTTTCTCCCCTGAGAATCACAGTTACTCAATTCATTTCAATTTCTGCAAGGTGACTCGGTGGTTAGCACCATTGCCTCGCAGCAGGAAGGTCGCTGGTTCATGTCCTGGTGGGGACACTGGGATCGTTCTGCGTGGAGTTTGCATGTTCTCCCCGTGCAGTGTGGGTTCTCTCCGGGTTCTCCAGCTTCCTCCCACACAGTCCAAAAACATGTTGAGGTTAATTGGTGATTCTAAATTGTCCGTAGGTGTGAATGTGAGTGTGCTTGGTTGTCTGTCTCTAAGTGTAGCCCTGTGATAGACTGGTGACCTGTCCAGGGTCCCCTGCCTTCACCCTGAGTCAGCTGGGATAGACTCCAGCCCCCCACGACCCTAGTGAGGATTAAGGTGTAGAGATAATAGATGGATGGATGGATGATCCTGTTTGCTATGAGTCAGTGTCCTGTTCTGTGTAATGACTCTACTCACCTCTGTTCACACAGAAAAGCCGGCACCAGACATTAGCATTTACGGATATGTTGGCAGAGTAAATGCTTCAGTGTCACTGTAAGTAAGACGCTAATAAACAAAAATGCTGCGCATCACAGGTGTTTAACCATCATCTGTGTTGTTCTGTGCTGTAACAGAAGGAATTTGTCATCATTTAGCATGTTTTTTTTTTGTACAGTAATCCTACACCACCTCCGTCTCCACCCAGAGAGATGAACATGGATACTGACATCGACATGGAAACCTCTGTGAGTTTGAAGTTTTACTGCCACTTATTCTGCAGTCCTTTAAAGACTCATCCATGTGGTGTACTTTATGTGGCGGACGACAGCTTGAGCTGAGTATTTTCCCCTTAAACTGGAGTCTACCGACGAGCACTGATCATATACAGATGACCTGCAGAGTGGCTGCTGCAAAACTAGGCTTCCATTGTAAACAATAAAAGTAGCTGTACCAGGATGGTGAGCTGTGTATGCACCACAGCAATACATGCTGCAAACGTACAAATAGACCAGTTCTCTATTTATACTTGTAATATATAACAAGTGTTTTTTACAGAAATAATTCATAAAGTGTCTGTATTTCTTTTTAAATTGCCAATTTATTTGAAATGACTTTATATCAAACAGGGCTTCCAATTCGGAGCCTCAGTCATTCTGTCTTCCAACTTTCCATTGTGTAGCATAGATAGATTGTTGGATTATTCATCCTCTTGTAGAATTTCCAGACTGCGGAGTCGTCGTAGGTGAGCTGTTGTGCTCCATCTGCAGCGAGCAGGGAGATGTGGGTGGACAGAAATGTGGGAACTTGATAGAGTTGTTATCTTATCCAATATAAGACTCAAATGTATTGTTTGAATGGAAGACTTGAAGAAATATGTAATTTTGATGCACGGAGACGAGTTTTTTGGGGTTTAATCAATGATTGGAGATGGACTTTTAAGCAGCATTCATTCATGTTTTTACCTTTTAAGAAGTCGTAAAACCAAAACAATGAGCTGAAAGAGCCCAAAATGCTTCATATAGTAACTGGAGAGTCGGTGTTCTTTACAAATAGCACCTTTAATATTACACCAAATGCCATTTTTAAGTTAATATGGAAGTTTGAATTAGTGCAGCTTTAACCACCTCATGATTTGAATATTTCCTGGTTTTAAGATGAGGCTGGATGATGATGATTTTTTTTCTCTTTTCTTTCTTTTACTAAATCTTTGTTTCACTGTAGATTGACAATCAACAAGTGATGAAGGACCTCTACCCTGATTTACTCGACACACCTGGAACAGATGTGCTGTCTTCACCTCACTTCTACGATCTATATTCACCTCAGGACAACTTTACGTTCAGCTTCTTTGACGATCTTTGAATCAGGTTTATCTCGATGAGAAACGGGTTTCGGTGCAGATGTAGTAATGGAATACAATTTAAAAAAAAAAAAACAACAAAAAAAAAAGAACAGTATCTCTTTGTGTAATATTTAAACAATGCATGATTTCTAGAAATAAGCATTATATTGTGCATTACAAACTTGAGTGTCGGTGCTTATGTTTACACTGAATTTCTGCTCGATTCAATTTTATTTGTATAGCACACTTTCCAAAATGTGCCATCTCACAGCGCTTAACATAGTAAAGTGAAGACCTTTATGAATTTAAACATTTAAAAAGCTGAACCCAATAGGAAGGGGGAAGGAAAAAAAAAACCTCCGACAGAACCAGGCTCAGGGTAGGCGGCCGTCTGCCTCGACTGGTTGTGTTGAGAGCGGGTGTGAGGGGGGTGGGGATAACAGGTCAGCAGATGGAGAGAGAGAGACCAGAACAATAAATATGTACTGTACAAACTATTTACTGCGCACACACACACGTTGTTGAGGATTTCTGATAAAATATGTGGTAGACTGGCGTCCAGATTGGACCCTGTCTTTTGATCTAAATGAGCCGGGATAGGCTCCGGTCCTCCCGCTACACCCTACAGAATAAAGCGATGTACAAATGATGTATGTAGACTGATCAAAATATGTGATGCTTTGCTTTTGTAATATTTTGTTTTCGAGATTTGTCAAATGACGATGCCATACTGTATGTGTCCTTTACATTTGTTTATTAAAATAAACATGTTTTAATACATTCCAGCCAAGTGAAATACCTCCTGCACTGCTCAGTCCTGAACCTGCAGTGTGATAACATTATTTCTACAGAGAAAAGGATTCGGTATTCTCAGGTCTTGTCTCCTCTGGGGAAATCCGTCCTGATCTTTCACCACCCCTGGTCAAAACTTGAGCATTTCATGAGTTGGCGGGACTAAAAAAAATACACAACAGTTTTAACAATAAGTTCGATATAAGTAATAACATTTGAGAATCTAGGCTCAGCTTACACAGAATGACATTAATAGTTTTCAGAATATTCTATCCTTTGTCCATATTTTAAGTCCTTAAATAAGTCCCATCAGCAGCAAGTGTCACGAACTGACGACCTGTACAACTGACTACATGTGGGTTGTACGTCCAGCTGAATCATTTGTATTTCTCAAAAAATAAAACATGTTTTCCTCGAGCTGTAAACGGCTGAATCGGAATTCTCACCAAGAAACTGCCACCAAATGAGATTTCACAACACTTGTTAGAACATGATAGCATTTATAGTTCGACTGACACAACAACTAAAGTTTTACAAGCTTGCAGGGGTAAAACAAACGTATATTGTTGCATTTAAATATATGAAAAGGAACCAAAATGCACGTTTTCCATCTAAAACGTGAATGTACTGTTCCGGATTTTTTGAAAGGAAAACACAGATTGGGCCTATTAAAGCATCTTTGCCTCCTCATTTCTCATGTGTTGTCGGGTTTGAACTGCTGGCTGGTCCACCACTTTGGTCCAGACTGAAATAACTCAACAACAGTCGGATGGGCTTCATTGTAAAGGATTTTGAGATGCTGACCACCATGAGTGACTTTTTTTTTTTTTAATCTTTACTGAAATAGCAACTACTCAAATAACTGTTAGGAAATCCGCTGGCCAACACACATCTGCAGTGTCAAGACGATGACCAAGATCGTCTGATTTCTCCTTTATGCCAACATGAGGCTAAACCTACCCAACTACATTACTCCTGTACAACTCAACTGTTCAACCCAATATGGCAAACACTGTGCCTGCTCAGCATGTTACAGTCGCCAAAGTGAACAGTTTAGACATTAGTTTGTGTCATTTTGCTACTGTCATGGTTGTATACGGACCACACTTTTTGTTTACTTGTGGTTTATGAGCGTGTATCCAAGTATAGTGCAGGACAATGATGTGTCTAGAGTGCTTTTAATACCTCAAATAAAAAAAGGGCCCCGTAGTTAATAACTGGTGTGTCGAAGTCAATATAGCAAGAGCTGATAACGTAATAAATTTGCCATTTTTAAAATGTAATAGGCCACTAAAGTAATAACTAGCCAATAACGTAATAAAAGTCCTGAACCGATAACATAATAACTTTTGGCCAATAACGTAATAACTTGTTACAAACCGATAGCGTAATAACTTTTGGCCCATAATGTAATAACTTATTACGAACCGATGTCATAATAACTTTTGGCCAATAACATGATAACTTACTACGAACCGATGACATAATAACTTTTGGCCATTAACGTAATAACTGATTACGAATCAATAACGTAATAACTTTTTGCCCAATAAATATAATGTTATCAGTTCAGGACTTTCATTAAGTTATTACGTTATTGACCTATTACATTTTAAGAAGTGCAAATGTATTATGTTATCGGCCATTATTACATTATTGGCTTCTACAAGTTTCCATTAATGCACTATATGATACCAACTATGTGCCCTTTCATTGTCAATCAAAATTGTTAACTGTAACGTACTTTTACATCACTAGACACATCCAGAGAATGGTCTGACTGCCCCTCATTATCCTTCAGCTATAGGCGTGCAGGTGGCTGCTTGGAGGTTTTTGTGAAGGGGGTTTTAAAAATGGCAACACACAAACAGCATTAGGGGAAGGAGAAAGAAGCATTCGATGGCTGGCAGAAATGACTGGTTTGTACCTGAAGTCTACATCCGATTTTGACAGAGGTAACATATGTGAAGTGTGGATATTAAATAACAACACCGGGCTCGTGGAAGTCAAACCACAACACACATGCACAAAGCCTGTGATGTACACGGAGCAGTGGGCAAGTTTAGGGTTAGTTTGATTTAAATAAAACTGAAATAAATGAAACTGAACAGCATTAGTGTCATTATTTAATGACTACATCAGGTATACGCACTTCTTTTCTATTTTCGTCCTCATGGAATGTTAAAGTCTACATTTAAGTCCACGTGTAAACACAGTTTGTTCACTTGAGATTACAATTATTGAATGTATTGTTCATGTTGATATATCTGAAAATTAAATTTCACTGGAGAAAATGTAAAAAAAAAAAAAAAAAGAAAAACCCTATTCATAGACCCTGATTGCATATGTGGAAAAAGACAATTTAGAAATAACTGTCTGGAGGACTGGGAGGCTCAGATGTTTGACAATAACTGCAAGAAACCAGATTCGATTGTCAGCATTTTCATAAAGTTGTGCCTGCTTATAAACATCATCAGCATTGTATTATCTACATTCTTTGTGACAACTCACAGTACACACACACACACACACTCACAAATGTAACTATACAGCCAAAAAAATAAAGAAACCAACTTGCCTTTAACCCACATCCAACAAATTACACATTCGTATGTCTTTTTTTTAGATTAATTTCTTCTTTTAAAAAGTCTCTGTGAAATAAATATATACTGTTTCTATTGCCAAGTGTCGCCACTGAAAAATACATTCGGAATACAATCTTTCAATGACTTCAGAGGTCATGTGGAGCTGCATAAAACCTGCTGATGACCACGCAACAGTCAGGATCTGAGAACAGGTATATGGAGATTAAACGGACCCATAGCTGCAGAGACACAACATATAATTTATAGCATCGTTTCCACACACCTCACTATCTCACAACACGACTACGGTGAGAGTATTACCCAAATATTACCAGGTAGAGAATAACACTGCAACTAAACTAATACACTATGATACAATCTATATCCTAAAAGTGACTTACAGTACGAACCATTACAAGTGTAATATACTGTAAACACCACATTACTGCATCCTTTGTTTAAACAGTACTGATAAGGCGCTCACACACACACACGTACAACACACAATATAATGATGGAAGGGATAAGGAAGCAGAGCAGCCATTTACAGCCAGAAAGCAGAGCACACCAGACTGGACGGAGGAACTAATTCAGACATTTCAGAAGCCTGAGCGTTGACGTACGAAGTTATTCCACAAAAGCACAACCTGCGGCTCTACAGCAGGCTGTCCAGGCTGCTCTCAACGCTCGCCTTGTCGTCGGCGGCGGCAGGAGGGCTGTATTTGTCTTGGTAGTTCTGCAGGATGGTGACGACGTCGTGGTGGCCGAAGTGCACCGCTTCGTCCATCGGTGTGTTCCCCCACCTGTGAAATGAGAACGATGCACTAAGAAAAAAAAGCATTGGAGGGGAAAAGATGCAGGCATCACCAGTAACAACCTGCAAACCTGAACTAGATTTCACCTGATTTCTGCATTTCATCGTGTCAAAGCACATCTGAAAATCTAAATCTGTCCTAGAACATAAACAGGGGAAGGGACCGGCTGCTTCACATAAAGAATACTGCAGCTTCTCACTCAAGCTGAAGAGAAAGCCATGAGTTGGAGAACTTGACATATTGTATATGTTAACTGTTGATTGCAGTGGTACAGATGTTAAGAGGGGGCCCTCTGGACTCACCTGTCTCTGGGTACTGGGTTCACCTTGCAAGCCTCCAGCAAGAAGCGCACCACCTCTGTGTGTCCTAAATGTAGACCAGATGTTAGAAATACATCTGCATGGATATAACAACATATACTGCCAGTAGAACTTATGCTTGATCCAGTTGGCTTCTAAATATTAAATCTTCTAAGATAAGTACAGAATTCAGATGAAGCAGTTTTTAAATGTTATACATTGACAAGTTGCAGCATTCAAACATGGTGCAGGTCCCCCTCAGGCCCCACTGACATGGGATCGCTAAAGGTTCCTGTGCTGTCTGAAATCAGGACGTTGGTAGTTGACCCTTTGTGTCTTGTGAGTAGTGGGTCAGGGCCTCCATGGATCCGGCTTGTTCTGTGGAAGCCTGGAGATGCTCAATCAGACTGGTATCTGGAGAGTTTGGAGGCTGGGTCAATGCTTGGGGCTCATTTTTTCCCTCAAGCTGCCCCCCTGAGTAGTTTTTGCCTGTCACCTGTCAGTGATTTTTTTTTTGTTGTGGCTGGTCTGTGTGTTTATTAGTGTTTTCTTTTATTTTGCCAAGACTTTGGGCAAAAAACAGCAACAT